TATTCATACCAAATTTAATAATGATCTTTTGGGGTCCTACACACATGGGGTGGGGGGAGGGGTCCTATAGGATCATCTCTCTCTCTCTATATATATATATATATATATTTCTCTTCTTTTTAATGAGTCATTCCTTATTTCTCTCCATATCTTTCGTCTCAACCCTATTCCTTATGTTCTCCCCTTTTATTTCGCTCTTATATTTATTTATTTTGCTTTCATTACATGTTATTTATTGATATTAGTTTCATCTTCCTCCTTTCTTTTTGGCTTTGTTTCCCCTCATGCTATATTATTGCCTTTTCTCATATTTTATATTCACATTATTTTCCCTTGTTGAAGAGGATCTCATCATCTTCCTTCTTCGCAACCATGCCTCCATCTCTATGTAATATCTCTCTTTCATCTTATGTTATGCATGCTTAGATTAGCCTTATCCTTTTGCACCTATATTCTTTAATTTCTTATTTTTTTAATATTTAGTAGTTAGATTCTTTACCCTTGTTTATTTGTATCTTCCTAGTTTAGCTGCTTACTTATAATTTTCTTTATTTGTTCTATTCTTATATACATTTTCGTTAAATCTCCTTATCTTAAAACTTTTTCTGAAACCTTATCGATTGAATTCTAAGGTTAAAATAGAAGAGAAGCCGGTTTGTCGGCAATCTGAGAGGAATAAGAACTTAGAACCCAACTATCCCTTGGAGCGTAATTTGACGAAACTCATACTCTACCGACGTATCAATTTGTTTACACCCAAAATCAAGACAGAGAACATCGTCCCCTATCCGCAATTTCAAGTATAAATAAGATCTAACACCATATTAAAGATGTGGCAGTTTTTGACACTATCTTTAAAAAAGCATCAAACCTACATCACTAAAATAAATGGTGTGAACATTGCAAACTTACTTTTACGAATAAATAGCAACCTCATACAAACCGCATCATAAATGCTCTGCTTTTCAATGCATTGCAAAATAAAGTCAAAGAACAAGATACAAATGTCATCGTTTAACCTTTGATTTAGTGACACAATATTCCCACTGTTATAGGACTCGGTCGGGCCCATCTGTCCACCATTCCATCAATATCTCCCACATTTTTTGCCAATGTTGAAACTTGGCTCCTTTTGTTTGTGATTGGACCCTATTTAATAACGCCTATACTTGTTTGTTTGATTAATGGCTGGAAAATGAAGTTTTTTACTTGAAAATTCGCTTTTCGTTTGAGAAAAAAAAGTGTATTTTCCATACCCTATGGGTTTTGGGGCCGAGGAATCTCTTTTTTGGAAGATTTTCATTTTACATTAATATCAATTTTTCTATTTTTTCAGCATTTTTTGTAGTTTTTATCCGGCCTATGAAGTATAGGGTCACTCGAGTAACTAGTCTTGGGCCAGTGGCCGCTACCTGGCCTGATTGTTTTTTCTGAAATGTTGCTCTCTAAACACCAAGAAGTAGCACTAGCACTGAAAGAAATCCTACTAAGACAAGACTCAAAGCAGAGTCCAGAGGTGCTGGTAGGGACCCATTTGGCAGCGTCGGATAGGCATCAGGCGGAGGCATGACGCAGTCATCGCCGTTGAAATAGATCCTCCTTGGGAACGCCCATCCATGGCTAAATGTGAAGGCACCTTGGTCCTTGTTGAGCAAAATGTCAGTTTGGACATTTCCCCCTTGCAAGAGTATGTCGTTGTACCCCTTGATCCCCCAAAACATGCCCGAGTCATCTTCATAAAAAGGAAAAAAGAGTACATCACCGTGAGAATAGAATACAGTTTAGCAATGACCATTGACCAGCTCATGACATTCACTGAAAATTGTGTTTAAAAGTTGGAGGACAAAGTTTTGATCCAAATTCTTAAAGACTACAGAACAAATTATCAATGACTGACTATTGATCCAAAATATTTAACAGAACTCTGATATTAAAAATGAAAACTTTAGTTTGAATAGAATCTAATAAGGACTTGAACCAAGTTTGTTCATATCTACTGTAATTTTAATCCCAATTTTCAGGAATGAATTTTTATACCTTAACAATTACTATTGAATTAATTTAGCAATCACAAAACTTAATGGGGTACTTGTTTGAAAGGGAAACAATATCAATGAACTTAATGGATGTTCAATATAACTTACCAATGACTACTGAATAATTTTTGCAATGACCATGAACTTAGTGACATAGCTGTTAAAAATTTTGCTGTAAAAATTATGGGGATGACCATGGCCATCAACTTAGCGAAGACTACCAAACCAATTGTAGAAACCAATGGAGATATCGGTCTGAAATGTTTGATAAAAACTTACTGACAGTGCCACCATATCTATCTAGTGGCTGATAGTTGAAGCTGAAGACTTGGTTTATACTACCAAGGTTGGGGTGTTGAGCCACGAGGTTCCAATCTGTATAATTCTTGGCATGGTTGAAGTTGTTTAACGTAATCTTCACCCTCCATAGATGCTTATAGCTGAGCATGACATGCCAATGTATCCTGACCGGACACATATGCCTTGTGCATCTCACGATGTCCTTGGCCTCCTCTAATGGTGACTTAGAAGTGTGCATCTCAAGTACAGAGGAGTTTCCACTGATGAAATAAATAGCCCCAAAGATTAGCCGTTACTTGGTTAACGTACTTGAGAATAAATGCAGAAAAATAACTCATATACACCTACATTTTGCTACTCCCACCAAAAAACAAGGGAGCCATACAGTTGTGTACACTATTATAGAACCTTTTCAGGTAGGAATGGTTAAAAAATGAGCAAAGATGGTCATTTCCAAAAAACTGAAAACATAGCAGAAACCCTAAAAATAAAATAAAGAAATGGACCAAAAATTAACTGGAAAAATGTTTGCCAATGGGCCTTGTACACTTACTTGACACACTGTCCGGCAAGTGAGGGCATATCTTGACAACTGCAGCTACAGAGGGGGCAGGGAACGATATCTGGGTTGTAAAAGGAGGACAAGGATACACAGCATGTTGGTCCCTTATGAGCTAAGGTTTGAGAATAAATGCAAGTCACATTCCAACTCTCTACAGAAAAACATCGAGATGTTAATTTCTGTCCACTAAGGTCATAAATTATTTTTATAAAACAAGAAAAGCACTAAAGAAATTGGTCCCTACAGTAACTGATCAGGGAAAAAATTGTTTTTGCACCTTAGAGACCAACTAATAGCAATCACATCAAATAAATCAAGTTAATGGATATTTGAAAGGGGAGATTAATGATCCAAAAGAAAAATTTAAGGGGAGGCATTAATGTGTGAGTGATTACTAAAATGACTACCCAGCATAACAAACTGGTATTATGAAAATACAGATGATAACAGTGGCCTACAAGAACTTGCTATTTTCCTTTTTTAAAGTAGACTACGTTGAAAGCACAGGAATACCACAATGGCACCCACAAAACAATCATTTATCTTTAAAAGAAAGCACAGATGTTATTTGAGCTATAATTCCATGAGTCTTGTCATTTGGCAGAAACTAGTAATAGTCTTGATACTCACTAAGGGCTTCGGTTGTGCGGCGGCCATCGGGATCGATGAAGATGCTCACATTCCCATTGATTGGATTGGAGCACGTGTAGCCAGGGCCGGGCCCTGATATCATGAAGTTCACCGGTGGAATGACAGTGGACAGTGTGTTCTTTGCGCAACCAACAGCTAACTGGAATGATGAAACTGCACGCGAAGAATCCTGTACTCTCGACGACAGCACCCCGCCCCTGCAGCAATTGGGCGCCTGCTTGTTGAAATTGGTACCAGGCAACAAGTCCACAATGACTGGATTCCTTTTGCAGCAGTGGGGTAAGTTTTTCTTAAACTCTGAGCAGTTTCCCTGTTCAATTGCCTGCGCCCCCTGCATCCACCATATGACCTCCCTCTTCTCCCAGGTCCAGCCCAGGCGCCACCCTGGGCTCGAGATGTGCCGATACTGTTCGAAGTTTAATATGGTGACCATTGCCTGAAATGGAATTTTCCATAGTTATTGTCAAGAGACTGTAGAGCATACTCTAATTGAAGCATTCTAAAAGTTTACTCTCTCCAGCATAATAGCTACTCAGGAGGTAAGAATTTATATATATAAAACATCGGCATCCACACGACAATTTCTAGTAGAATATTTCTAAAAAAGAAAGAAAATGAGAGTGGTAAAGAAAGAAAATGAGAGTGGTTTGAGTCTTTAAACAACTTCGGTTCAATCTTAGGATGTTATTTTCCTTCAAGCACATACAGTGTCTTTACATATTACTTTTCTTGAGGTTGGTTTCCAGATTGAAGAGATTACATCCTCAAGAGTCGAGACTTCTGATCCTAAAAATACTTCGATATCGAGTTTTATGAGAGGGAGCAAATGCAGGAAATGCTTCTGAAGGAGCATAAAATCTTTTGACTTTTGTCAAAAGATAAACTTTTTGGAGTCGGGTATGGTTGTTTATATGGCAGCATATGGTATAGAAATAAGATGTCCATCATGTGTCCTTTCCAGTCGAGATCGATGCAGATGAATTACTGTCCTGCAGATGAATTACTGTCCTGTAGGAAATGGGGTTGAGGTCAAGGTAGTAGAGCCTCAGGTCTCGGTTTGCATTCTTACCAAAGTTAACCCATTTTGAAACCTACTAACTGTTTCTAAAATGCTAAGCCCTTCAGAAACTACTAACAGTTTCTAAAAATGGGGAGGGGCCTGTAATCCCCGCTGAACTACTAAAAAAAAAAAAAGGAATTATTATTCTGTTTCTCAGGGAATTTAGTGGGTAGAAATTATGAGTGTCATGTAATATATACACAATGTTTATTGTCTATTTTCCCTTTTGAAGCAGGCTGTGCATTATCAGAGCAATGCAATATACATAAGCCACTCAGAGCCACACTAAATATATATATATATATATATATACACACACGTAATTAAGGGCTTATGATCAACTTCTTGTGTTTTATGATCGCTTTCTTGTATTTAAGATCTTCAATGTGATTTTGAGAAGAAAGGATTTTTTTTTTTTTAATGATTCTATAGTTGTCCTAATTTCCATTAATGGTGATAAAACAAATGCCCATATGCATTGAGATATAGAAACTGCTTTAAGGATTTAGTCATGTGTCCATCTACGATATTTTGCCTTTCAAACTTATATATTAATAAAGCTGCTACTATAAACCTTTTAAAAAGACAAAAAAAAAAAAACTAGTATAGCCACTGATTTTCTGAGATAGAGATAGCAAAAACTCAGGTGAGAATAGAAACCCTATTCAATAATAACTGGAGAATGTAGTTTCGTGAAATTCTTTGCTAAATAGTTAACCTTTAGTAAACAATGATATCATAAAATTTGTTAACTTCCTGTTCATTACACAAATGTAATGTTCGTATTTTTTATTTGAACAATATTAGTATAATATAGTGTAAAGGTGTGGGTTCTTAGTCCCACGTCAAAAAATAACGTTAGAAAATAATGCTATTTAAAAGGCCACCTCCTACCTATCAAATGGGGGTTTGATTTCCCATTTTACTATACAACTATCGTACTTTGAAGACTTAGTATTTTTTTTAGTGCGGGCCCGTTTGGCTCATTGGATTCAGATTTTTAAGAGTTATTTGTACTCGAAATGCTAGGTCAATCGTGTTTGGTTCTCTTAGAATTGAGATTTCCGTTGGAATTCAGAGTTCCATGGGATTCCTGAATGCTCATTTTAAGCCAAAATTTTGGAAATCTCACATTTCATGGAAATGATCCATTTTGCTGTTGAAGAACAAAAAAAGTATTAAAATTTTAGAGAGAGAAAATATATCAAATTTTAAATAGAGATAACATATTAAAATTGTAAAGAGGGAAACCATATTAGATTTTAGAGAGAGAAGGTCCATGAAATTTCTTAGATAGAAAATATATACCCTTTTTAGTGAATTTTAGAGAGAGAAACTATATCAGATTTTAGAGAGAGAAAGTATATGAAATTTTTTAGATAGAGAAATTGTATACCCTTTTTAGTGAGACAAATATCTCAAATTTTTAGAGAGTGAAACTATCTTAAATTTAAATTTTTAGGGAGACCATATATAAATTTTAGAGAGAGAAAGTATCTCAAATATTAAATTTTAGAGAGATAAAGTATCTTTAAATTTTAGAGAGAGAAACTACATTAAATTTTGTAAAGAGAAATATCTCAAAACATTTAGAGAGAGAAAGTATCTCAAATTTTAAGTTTTAGAGAGAGAATATATTAAAATTTTAGAGATTAGAAACTATATCAAGTTTTAGATCGAAAAACTACCGCAAAAGAAATTATCTTAAATTTTAAGTTTTAGAGATAAAATACCTTAAAACTTTAGAGAGAGAAACTATATCAAATTTTAGATAGAGAAAGTACCTAAAATTTTTAGAGAGATAAACTATATGAAAAATTTTAGATAGAAAAACTATCTCAAATTTTAAGTTTTAGAGAGAGAAATTATATTAAAATTTCAGAGAGAGAAAATAATTGAAAATTTTAGAGAGAGAAACTATCTCAAAATTTAAGTTCTAGTGAGTGATAGCATCTTTAAATTTTAGAGAGAGTAACTATATCAAATTTTAGAGAGAGAAAACACCTAAATTTTATTAGAGAGAGAAACTATCATAAATTTTATTAAAGAAATTATCTCAAAATTTAAGTTTTTTATAGAGAAAGTACCTTAAAATTTTCGAACGATAAACTATATCATATTTTAGAGAGAGAACTACCTGAATTCTTTAAAAAGAGAAATTATCTGAAATTGTTTAAAGAGAGAAACTATCTCAAAAAATTTATAGAGAGAAACTATCTTAAATTTTAAGTTTTAGAGAGAGAAATTATCTCAAAATTTTAGAGCAAAAGTCTATAAAATTTTTAGAGAGAAACCATTTCAAATTTTATGTTTTTGAAAGATAGTGTATTAAAATTTTAGAGAAAATTTTCAAGAGAGAAACTATCTCAAAATTTTTAGAGAAAGCATTGTTATTTCTAAAAAATATATATTCCTGACAATCTAAATAGGGAATTTGTATTTTCTTTTTTTTTTTTACCAAATGCGATCCAAATAGGGAATTAATATTTTCAAGAAATCTCAATTCCAAGATTGACTTTTCCTGGGATTGAAAAATCCAGGGATCCAAACGGGCCCTAAGTCGTGAGATTTTTTTATCCTATTTTTCAGGGGTCGCAAGGACTAATTTGAATAGATCATCCTTATACTTAAATTAATAGGGGCAAATATAATCTTTTTTTTATACCAAAGATATCAAATTTTATTGTTAATAATTAGACAAGAATTACATCATTCATGATAGAAATAAACTCAAGCGAAACACCTCTTCTGGCTAAACCATCGGCAATACCATTGGCCTCCCTATACACATGATGGAAAGATATCGATAGCATCTCCGCCTAATCCAACACTTGTCCCCAAATTGACCGAAGCATCCATGGAACTCTTTGCTCCTTGTTGCACCACTTTATCACGTCTAAAGAATCCCCTTCCACCATGATAAAATTCCCCAGATTCATAGATTCAATGAACAATAATCATCTTAGCAAAGCTGTAAATTCTGCAAAATTGGCAGTTGCATAACCGATAGGTCCAACATAAGCGAGAATAATTGTCCGAGTCAAATCTCGCACTACTCCTCCAATACCTGTTTCGCCCGGATTACCAAGGGAACTACTATCAAAATTGAACTTTAAATACCATTGAATAGAAAGTAACCACCGACCTACAGGCCTTGCCCTTACTACATTAGAGAAAGCAAGGTTGACTAAGTTTAACGTTACATCAGTCTAAGTGATACCCCTACCATATTTACTGATAGAGAGTCAGGTCCAAGTGGTATGGATTATACGTTGAAGGATATGATCAAAAGAAATGACAGTCCCTTCAAAGTTGTGTCGATTACGCTCTTTTCATATCTTCCAACACATTGCCCCTCTAATTATTTGCCACAAGATAGACCCCAGCTTCAGTAAGGCCTAAAAGACCACTTGTGAAATAATACTCAGCATATCCTGAGGTAAAGCCACCTTGAAACCTAACAAATTTAGAAAGAATTCCCAAATTTTGGAAGCAAAGCGATAGTGTACCAAAAGATATGAAACAGTTTCACCATCTTCTTTACACATCAAGCAAACGTTGGGCACAACCTTACCTCTCTTGATAAGATTGTCTAAGGTCAATATCTTATTTTGCCCAGCCAACCAAATAAAGCATTGTACTTTATGAGGTATCAGCCACTTCCATACTTCAACAATCTGTGGCAATCATGGAACAATATAGAATATGTCGCTGTCACTGAAAGAATCCATCCTATTTATGCTCCCATATTATCTCATCCGCAATAGTAAAAGTAATAACCACTTCCAGCAGCTGCGATAACAGTGATGTAAATTGCACCAACATATTCTCTTGCACTCTGTTATATGGAAACTAAATATTCCAAACCACTTTCTCCCAGCATATTCTTGCACTCTATTATATGGAAACTAAATATTCCATACCAGTTGCTCCCCCTACTAATTAAGTGTCGATTATCAAGGCATTGGGATTAGAAATTTTAGCAAATAAATTAGTGAAGGATATCTTTAGTGGGCAGTTACCCATCCGCTTTTGATGTCAAAAAGAAACTTGAGATCCACTCCCCTCACACCACCGAATATCTCTATGAAGATAAGATTTACATAAAAAGATATCTCTCCAATAAATCGATCTAGATGACCTTCTTCTACCTCCTCCAATCCAAACTCCAAGACATCTACACCATATTTTGCTATAAGTACCTTACACCAAAGCTAATCTTTGAATAATACACATCGCCACCACCATTTAGTTAATAAAGCTTCATTCATCAAAGAAATTCTTCTAATGCCTAAGCCCCCTTCACATTTAAGGATACATACCATATCTCATCTCAACAAGGGGTATGTTTTGTCCTCCACAAAAGAACCCATAAAAAATTGTGCATCATCCTTTCGATTTTCTTGACCACACCCAATGGAATTTTCAAAAGGGACATTTGATAGATAGGTAAGTTTTCCTTGCAGGATCTCAATAAGGTCACTCTTCCCCAAGAGACAGATACTTTGGCTTCCATAATTTAGTTTCACTTGAGCACAAGAAATCTTGCATCAGAAATTGGCATCCCCAGGTAAGTAATGGAGAATGTATCGGCTATACATCCAAGAGTTAGAGCCAACTTCTCAACCATATCGGTACTATAATTGACCCAAACCAAAGCTGTTTTTGTAAAATTAACTTTTAGCCCCACAGCCGATTCACAATACTTAAAAAATCTGTCAATATTCTCAATATGCTCCTTCTTAGCCTCAATAAATATCAATATGTCATCTACACACTGTAGATGAGAAATAATGGGTCCATCCTAACCGATAAGAAAGCCCGAAAAGTTACCTTTATTCACCACATTACTAATCATAAGATTAAAACACTCTTCATAAATTGAGAAAGAAAGGGTGACAAAGGGTCTCCCTTACAGAGACCTTTAGAGTCTTTGGAAAAGCCTTTTGAGCAACCATTAATAAGCACCGAGAAGTATGGAGATCATAAGCAACTATAAATCCAATTACACCATTTCACCCCAGAACTCATCATATTCAAAACTTCTAAAAGAATCCTCCACTCAACCCTGTCATAGGCATATTCCAAATCCAATTTGATCACCACATCTGATTCTTTACTTTCAACTATCCTTGAGCCACAAGCACACTATCAGTTATCAACCTATTTTATAAATGCTGCTTGAGGTCACAAAATCACAAAATCACAAAATTCAGTACCTTCTTAAGCCTTAGCGCCAAAATCTTAACAATAATTTTATACAAGCTGGTCAACAAGCTGATAGGTCTAATATCTGATAATTCCACAATAACATATTTTTTGGGATTCGAGCAATAAAAGTCGAGTTTACCCCCTTAAATAACTCCTCCCTTAACAGAAAACATCACACCATCCCCAAAAGTTTCCCACATAGCATAGACCAAAACCTATGAAAAAAGCAGATAAGAAAGCCATCTAGCCCTGGTGTCTTATCCCCTGCTAAAGAAAAAACTACCACCTTCAACTCCTCCATTGATACATCCACCTCCAGAGAAGTCAAGTCCAAGGAGAGGATTTTAAATGGAATACAAGCCATTCTAGGGGTAAAGTGCACTTCCTAGGTGAATGCGTTACGGAAGTGTTCAATGACAGCTCGATCATGGCCATCATAATCATCCTGCTCAACCCCTTGGATCGATAAACTCGAGATGTCATTCTGCCTCCTACGAGCATTAGCAATAACATGAAAATACTTAGTGTTTAAATCACCTTCCTTGAGCCATTTTACTCGCAACCTCTGCCTCCAGTAAACTTCTTCAACCCTACGGAGTTCATTAGGTGATAGTATTTTCCCAGGTTGTTCTAATGAGATCCCCAACCCATACTTCATCCAACCATCCTATCTCCAATCTGAAACGGTTTTGGACCACCCAAGGAGTTACTTCAACTCAGTAATAGTGGCGTATGGTCAGAAGACAATCTAGGGAAAGCTTTCACAGTAACCAAAGGGAAAAATTCCAAAAACTCAGTAGAGACTAAGAACCTATCAATCTTGGTCATGATAAGATCTAAAAGACTATTCTTCGTCCACGTATACGATGAATCCAACAAAGGCATATCAAACAGTCTATTATTCTCTATAAAAGAGTTGGAACAATCTCATGGAGGAATTAATACGGCCTCTTGAAAAAGACTCTCAGGCCATCTTATCAAATTGAAGTCTCCCCCAACACAAAAAGGCAAATTAAACACAGATAAAACCCCTGACAAATCATTAAGAAACCCTTTTTTGAGAGATAATATTTGGTCTATATACATTCAAAAGGCCCCACGAAAAGTTGGGCATAGGACCATTAAGCGCACAGCTAACTATCTATCACACCTTTAAGAACCTCGAAACTTTGTAGAATCTGGGGATTCTACAATACCCACAAACCACCCAAAACCGCTGTCGAGTTAATACTTTCAAAATAAACTGATCCAGAACCTCAAACTTCTCGAGCCCCCAAACACAGTAGGACTGGGAAGCTTGGTTTCTTGCAAAATTAACATATCTGGTTTATACTTAACCAAAAAAAAGACGTCCCTTTTCCTACCTACATCCCCTAAGCCCCTTACATTCCAATTTAAAATTAACAAAGAAAATGGTTGGATGAAGAACCTGAACCTTCAGCATCAGGCCCAAAGAATTAATGCTCCAACACATGTGCAACCTCCAAAGATTTTGAGCTTTCATCTGAACTAACTGCTACCATGTCATCTTCATTTGAATGACGCTCTCTCATAAGCAACTAAGGGCCTCTACCTATCAATTTGGCTGAAAACCTTGAAGGTCCAGCCAACTTCTTTTTTTTGGCTCTAGACGATTGCTGAACCACGCTCTTCCCCTGGCTAGGAGAGCCCACAAGGCAAGAGGATTTGCCTGTAAGAGCTGGCCCAACATACTCCACCTCAGCTACCGCCTTGACAACCTTCTCAACCTCCTTTTTTTCCATTCTCTTCAATCTCTTCTTGTCCCTGATATCCTGTAACACCACAGCTATCGGAACACTATAGTCTAGTCCCATATCGTCAAGCATTACACGGTTCTGACGATCCTCCTCCTCACCCACTTCAACATTGTCCAATGGAATTACAGCACCCTCCACCATAAGCAACGAGCCATCTTGGTGAGGAACAACAAGGATAGGAGGTTCGATCTCAACCACCACCAGAGCTGACATGGGGTCAAAGAAATCGAGGTCATACTCTTGACCCCCTTCACTCCCCACCTCTAAAAGAGAGGCCTCAACTCGACAACCAACTCCCCATCATCTTATTCCAATTCTAACACCGAGATAATATCTATCGGGTCAACTAACAATGGATCAAATATAATATTGAGACAACACATTAGCATGATTAAATAAAAGGAAGGTCCTCCCTTCCATCAATAATATATTTATTATTCTCCACAACCAGATTTTAAAACCTCCACTTCTCCCATTTTCTCAACAGTTCCAAACTATATTTTGGGTGAAACAATGGAGACTTCAGCAAGTTTCATCAAAGTAATGAACCAAGATGTCGCCAAACTTGATCAAATTGATGGGATAAATTTCATCAGATAGCAACAAAAAAACAATGTTTTTGTCAACTATATTTAAGGCCGTGTACATTATCACCGAAAAAATACAAGAGTTACTGTCAGGAAATGAAGTGGAAGAACCGTGAGCTATCCAAAAGTAGATGAAGGATGATTATATTTTGCAAGAGTCGTATCCTCAATACATTTACCAATCCAATATTTGACATGCACTCTTCACTGGCATTGGCTAGGAATCTTTGGCAATTATTGGAGACCAAGTACCAAATGGAAGAATCGAGAATCAAAGATTTCTTATAATATTTAAAAGTTAAGTTCATTGAAAATAAGCATATATTCAATCAAGTGCATGAGTTACAACTTACTATAAGTATTGCGTTACATGAATTATTTGAAATGGGGGGATAATTATATACAAGTTATGCCCTTCTTGGATAGAATATCAAAAGAAAATGAAGCACAAACGAGCTGATCTTTACTGCGTTCAAGTTCAATGGTCTCTCCATATAGAGGGAGTAATGGAATCTCATTTCTATATAAATAAGTCTCCCATAGACCCATTTCTAGAGAACCAAATGGGCCTCAAATAGGAGTGTTGATCCACATGAAAGGCCGGATCCAAAAGCTCATCTAAAGAGGATGTTCATATGTCAAATTGAGTCTCTCGACCTTGAGATGGATTGACATGAAAAGAAAAAAAAAGACTTCTAACTATAAAAAAAAAAAGAAAAGAAAAGAAAATTGTTTCATGCAGAGGGAATCGCATTTCTACATTAGCGGTCCCTGAGGTGTAAAGCTTCCATCTTAAACATGGATGCAAATAGGTGGTCCAACTAAAAACAATTGAAACTAATGGTCCAAATTTTTTCTTAAATAGAATTATTATTTTTAATTTTCAAAATTTATTTATTTTTTCATATTCATGATCTCCATTTTAAAGAATATGTCGTAAAAATTAAGTCCAAAAATCCATGTCAAAACTAGATTTTTAAGAGGTGACTCATTTCTGCATGGACTCCTAGAAACAGTATCCTAAAATGAATGCATCTTGTAACATATTATATAGAATTAATAGATTTGCTCAATATGCTAACCCCATTATGAAAATAGATTTTTAGGCAATTGTAAGGTTTCCAACGACGATACTACGTCTTTTAGCAAGACATAAGGGTGCACCTTCCTTTAATACCTTATACAAACTATATCATTTTGTCAATTGTAGCATGGAATATTTAAACTTCTTGAGGGTACAATACGAAGTCAAGCCAATCAAATTTCCCAAACATATGAACTCCTATGACCATCTCTCTCTCTCATCCATAAATGGTCACTGTCGACTGATATGCTGAGATTATACCCATAAATATTGATATGTTGTGAGATTATAAAAGATGGACTGTAAAAAATTGCCAAATGTGGGCAATGTTATAAAGGCGTAGAAATTGTGATCCTCTCTATCTCTCTCTCCATCTCTTTCTCTCTCTAAATGCTTACCCAAAACCAAATTAATAGGAACCAATATCAAAATGAAGAAAAAGTGAAAGCATTCTTGAGATGCTTTGTGTATTTACCTGGTAGCCATCGTCGGTCCAGTCCATCACATCCCATTTGATGGTTATGTTCCCATTTGGATCCATAGGATCAAATGCACCTAAAACCACAACAAACAAACATCACACACACATTTGAATACATGCTTTTGATTTCCAATACCTATTGAGAGAGAGATGATCACAGCAAATAAACTTCCAAAACAAGAATATTGAGTTATTTTGATTCGGACAAGGTTTCTATAGGTCCATGTTGAAATGTGTCGGCTCTTAAAAATCTATTTTTTTGAGATGGATTTTTTGACCTAATTTTTAAGAACGTATAATCTCTAACATGGAGGTCATGAATATGAAAACATAAATAAATTTTCAAAATTAAAAGGATATTTCTATTAAGAAAATATTTAGATCGGTAGTTTCAATTGTTTTTAAATGGACCACATATTTGCATCCATCTTTAAAATGGATGCTTTATACCTTAGGACCACATATTGTAGAAATAAAGGACCAGCCCATATGAAACAATTTTCCTTTTGATTTTACAGAGATGTTGAGAACATATTACTTCAAAACACCACACATAGAGACGAGACAAAATTAAAATATTGTTGTTTTTTTTGGGGGAGGAAAAGAGAGAGAGAGAGAAACAATACACTTCCAAATCCTATCAAGCAGGACAACGAAAATGTAGAGAGAACAAATGCACTTCAATACCAGAGATGATGAAAACAGAGAGAGAGAAGCACAGCAACATTTTTCAGTAAAAAACTAACCTGAAAGCGATAATGAAGCAATGAACCACAGTAAAGCAGCAAAAAGGCCGAAACCAGTAGTATTTCCTGAGTTTTTACTCATTTCTTCTTGTCTTTGCCCCTTGGATATATGAAAAATCCCGACGTTCTTTCTCTCTCTATCATTTTCTTCACATGTTGCACCCAAAGATGAGATATGGAATTCCCCCATCTCAATTCCCAGGATGTCCCTTCATCTGTAGAGAGGGAGAGTAGAGGGATGAAATTACATGAATGAGAATGGTGGTGCAGGGCCAAAGGTGAGAAGAAAGAGAAAGAAAAGCGCAAAACCAGAGGCCGCATTTGTGCTCTTATTGGAACATCCCGATGCCATTCTGTTAAGTTTCTATATGAAGCACAATTAAAAGGAGCAATGGCTTCTAAAGCCCTATCATCGGAATAAATGACAATTAAGTCAAGAAATCACCGAAAATAGCAAACTTTTTATGTCTTTAATTAGGAAAAAGTTTATATAGAGCCGAGGCTCTAAACAATCAAATTAGAGTGTACCTGAAAACTTTCTCTAGAAGAGGTTGTTTTGATGCCTGAATATCCTCAAACTGATCATATTGACCTCAAGATGCATGGACATGAGAAAAAACATAAATTTCAAGTTTTAAAAATAGTGCATCTTGTAGCCCATTTTTAGACCGTTAATTTTCAAGATTTTCACGTTTTCATAGATCTACTCGATCTACATTATTTTTGAAGCTTTAAATTTTGTAATTCAATACGAAAATATATTTTAATTCTACCGCAAAAATTTCCAGTATTGAAACCACATTTCTCGATAAGATCTGAAGGCCGGCTTTACTTTGATTGTTTAGAGCCTCGGCTATGCGGCTTGTATGGAGCCGAGGCTCTAAACAATTAAGTAAAGTGCACATTTAAGTAGTCTCGAAAATTGTGGTTTCTATAAATCTTTGTGATAGCCTTAAAATATATTTTCATCTTTAATAATAAAATATAAAACTTAAAAAATATTGTAGATCGAGCAAATCTATGAAAACTTGAAAATCATGAAAATTAATGATCTAAAACTGTGTTACACGATGAACTATTTCCAAAACTTGAAATCCATTTTTTTCTCATGTCTATGCATCTTAATGCCGAGATAAATAATTTGAGGATATTTGGACATCAAAACAACCTCTTCTAGTAAAATTTTTGAGGTGGGCTCTAATTTGATTGTTTAGAGCCTCGACTCTACATAAACTTTTTTTTTATCTTTTTTCTAGTTTCAATGATGTTTCTTGTTGTATTTTAAAATTTGGAAAAAGTTTATACAAGGTTCCAACCTTAAAAATGTAGAATTATAGATGCACTTCAAAAATCCATTGAAAAATATTGTTTGCAAGGTGAAAAACCCTCTAATTAATCATCTCAACATCAAGATGTATGAAGATGAAAATAAAAAAGATTTTGAGTCCCAAAACTAATGCATCTTGCAATACATTATCTAAACCGATCATTTTCAAGATTTTCATATATTTATAGATCTATTTGATTTTGATTATTTTTGAAATTTAAAATTTTATAATCAGTTTAAAAAATAAATTTTTAGATAATTCTAAAAAACATTTATACCAAAATTACATATTATAACAAAATATTATAACAAAATTTGGAGGTGTATCATAATTGGATTGTTTAAAGTTGAGACCTTATAAAAACCACACCCTTAAAATTTTGGGTTTGGGCATAAAGGCCCAGGGCTTTAAAATGATTCTAAAGAATAAATAGGGGTGCTTTGGTCAATAATGTTGGACTTAAATTAAAGGTTGAGGTGCACAATGGTGTGGGTGGCGAAGGTTAGACTGGTTTCTCGTGCTGGTCAGGGTTGTCACGCATTTACCGCTTCTTATTTTTGGGACTTTGCGTATGCCGTTTGTGTTAACAAGACCATGTCCTTCCCCGCCCTCCCTCTCTCTCTCCAAGACGTTGTTTAGTAGCGGTGGCAATGGTCCTTGATCCGACTCGGGATTGACCGGGTATATTCGATACGGGTCAGGTGTGGATCAAGCATTTGGACACAGCGGATTGGGTTTGGGTTCAAAATTTGTACCCAAACACTATAGGGATCTAACTTTGGATCCAACTGGACTTAATCGTACCCAAAAACAGTTAGAGATAAATTATTTTAGTTTAAGTTTTATTCATTTAGGTGTATTAATGATCGTATATAATTAGAACTATAGTCATTTTTAGCTATTAAACGACAAACCACACGATGTGAAATCTAATAGAGAATGATTGTGACCTTGTTGCCCGTAGTACAAGTGTATACGATGCTAAAAAAAAGGGCATTAAAAAAGAAAAAAAAAAAAAAGCTCACAGTAAAGGTGATAATGGACCTGAGACCCGATGGGGTAGACCCGGGACCTGATGGATACGGGTATAAGTCAATTTTTTGGACCCGACGAGTCGGGTCCGGATCCAAAACCTAGACTCGATTTTATTCAGGTTTGGGTCCAAATCCAACCGGACCTAATCGATACCCGACCCGTTTCCTATTGTTTTGTGATCTCTCTTTCTCTAAAACGTTGTTCAGTGATGCTTCTCTCTCTCTTTCTATATTCTCTCTCTTCTTTTGTTTTTTTCCTCCACCTGTTTTATGCGTTGGAGATGTAATAGAAGTTTTAAGGCATTTGTCTTCTCATTCATGAATCATGATGCGTGTAATAGAACAAGTCCAACCCAGTTTGAAATGTATAGATATATATAGCTAGCAATTATGATTGGATTACATGATTTCGTTTTTGTCAAAAGATTTCCTACCCCGGGGACTGGACTATACTATTCATTTACCCCTCGAAAATAACACATTCTAAGAGTAACTTTAGATCTCAAATTTTGGGATGTAATATTTACATACTATAAAGCTCATCTCAATAAAAAAAATTCTGAAATGATCTCCCTACGCACTAAAAAAAATTGTGTCAAGGTTGAATATAGATAGTAGAGGTAGATATGTGTCACAAAACTAAAAATTCAAAGTTTTTTTCTTTTGAAAATAATCATCTATCTAATAGTTCTTATGTGGTTCCCTAAATTTTGCACACACACTCTCTTCATCTCAATAATCAATCCCCAAAAAAAAAAAAGTTCAATTTGAACCCTAGATATGGTCAAACTGAGTCCCCTCCAAAAACGAATATAGACCATTCATTTTATGAATTTCAAGATCTTAACCTTTATAAACTCAAAATATTTTATTTTTTAACATTGTTCATCTAATGGTAATAAAGCCATCTAAAAAAATTGGAAATGAAAAAATCCTTCTAAGGCCTAGATCTAAGCATCTAATCAAAATGAACGGCCTATGTTAATTGGGCTAAAAAAATACTTTTTAAGTTGTTTTTTCATATTTTCCTTTTTTGTGATTGTTTATTGGAATGAAAAAAGTGTATATTTCAAATTTTAGATCAAACAAATGGCCATAAGATGGTTTTTAAGGTTGTTGCGTCATATTACTATACAATAGTTGCATGATATCATTGCCCTAATATATATAGGTTTTTTTTTTTTTATGTGAGTCTATACGGAGAGGGCTCTTACCTTTGGTAGGAATGAAGCCTAGGACATAGCATTGCAAATCGTGTAGCGTTAACCAATTCCAAGGCTATTTTCCTATAGATCATATAGTTAACAATTATGAGTGGATTACATTATATTGTTTTGGGGAATGATTTCATGCAACGTTGTATAGTAGTATAATGCAACCATCTTCAAAAACCATGTTAGAGACATTTGTTTGACAAGAATTTTTATATGTACACTCTTTTCATTTTGAAGAACAATCACAAAAAAGAAAATTTTGAAAAAATGCTCTAGAAAGTTTTCATTCTAGCCCAATTAATATAAGCCATCCATTTTATTGAAATGGTTAGATATAGGCTTTAGAAGGATTTTTTTTTATTTCCAAAATTTTTATATAGCATTATCATCATTAGATTAATAACGCTAAAAAATAAAAAGTTATTTTGAATTTGTTAAGGCCTAGATCTTGAAATTCACCAAATGGATGGTCGAGATTCATTGTTGGATGGGTACTAATTTTTACCGTATCTAGGGTGCAAATTGAATTTTTTTTCTTTGTAGGATTGATTATGAGGATGAAGAGAATGTGTGTGCAAAATTTGAGATTATACAAATGTCAAAAATATGATTTTCTAGATATGTAGTTGCATTATACTACTATACAACCGTTGCATTAGATTATTTTCCTATTGTTTTCATTGCTATATTTATTAGCTTAATGACTAAGGTTACTTCTTTAGCCCACACAAGCATCATGTTTGTTGCGTGTGTACATGAAATAGAGAGACTTGTGGGGGTAGTTTGCCAGCTGTAGCTCTCCAAAAGATAGAAGTTTAAGCAGTTGGAAGTAGAAGTCTAACCAGTTGGAAGTGCTTTATATATATATATATATATATATATATATATATATACTACACTACGACGGACGTAAGTTATTTAGTTTAGGTAGAAGTTAAGGTTACGTACTACTTCTTTGTACAAGTATAGTTCTTACGTCGTACGTACTTACGTACG